AGTTTCATGAAAAAGAACATTGTTAAAATTTGCTACAAAATGTTAGTGTAGCATTTTCTTTCTTCTTACTTTTGATTGTGGAGCTTTTCTGGAGGTAAACTGGTATTTTTCTGTTTGGAAAAAATGTTCACACCAATGTGTTAAATGACTGCAATAAAGTTTCTTGTCTGTTTCCTCTTGATGAAAAAGAGAGTTGGAGATGAGGTACTGCTTTCACCAAAGGGAGGTTGTTCTATAGGGTGGACTTTCAACAGAAAGGCTTTGACTACAATGGGACCCTGGCATCATGCAGTTGATGGGGAAAGTGAGTGACCAGAGGCTGCTGCTGGGTTGGTGGGGCTGGAGCCCCAGCCTCCAGATTTTAGCTGGATGGTTTTCCTCCACTGCTCTCACTCCTTTCTCCAACTTCCTATTTCTGTTATGCTAAGTAAACTCTCAGAGCAAATATGAAATAATCCTGAGAGCTAGACCACACTCTTTTCAGCTGATTATTTGTTTTTATGAGATGAGGTTTTGAATAATTAATCAGTAAATGATTTTAGCGGAGGGAGAATAAATACGTGTACTCTATGTTTTTCATCTTATAGACTCAGACATTTCTATTTACTATAAAATGGTCTTTGAATTATGAAGCATATATATACAAGTAATATATGTGGAAAATAGTGTCTATAATTTTTTTCAAATTAAAGTTCTTTTGAGCTATTATGAGTAGTTATGAAAAGCTTATTTATTACTGCAGGATTATCCACAAAGTTACCATCTTAACTAACATATTTCAAGAAAATATTTAACATAACTTAGACAATATGTGAGAAAAGCAATACTCCATTTTTATTTTTTTTTATTGCAAGAGAAAAATATGATTGTAATGAAATTTTGCTAGTTTTTCAAGACATTTTACAAAATGGTGGCTTTAAAATAATGCCCTGTTTATGAATTTTATTGTTTCAAATTTTGTTTTACTGCAAAAGTACCTGACCCCCCAAAAAAAACCTTTACAAATACCTTGTTTGTGAAATATAAAAGTGATTTAAACGAAAAACTTAAGATTTATGGCATAACAAGTTCTTCTGTTTCTACAATATCTCTGAGCAATATAGTTAAAAAGGTATTTAAGAAAAATTTTAAGAGTTTTTTGACAATTGTGAATAACTCTAAAAAGAAAAATTGCTTGAAGTCAGGGCATTTTTGTCTCCCGGTTTAGAAAAAAACAAAACAAAACAAAAACAAAAAATTGTACGAGATCGGAATTTTGCTTTTGGAAACGAAAACAAACGCCCTCAGGTCCTGGGGTACCTCTGCTGACACACTCTGTCGGTGGCTGCCTTCCTCTTACGCCCCCGTTTTAAGCCACTAACGTTACTCCCAGCACTTCGCTGAAACTCAGAGAGTGGGTGGAATCGGATCGGTTTTCCAAGACAGGCAGGTCAATAGCCTTTTACCCAAACTACACGGGAAAGATTACACAGGGACAAATGGGGTCCCCTTATTTACAGGCCTTGAGTCCCCTCCCGACCTCCGCTTTCCAGATCGTCCTGAGAAAGGCGCTGCGGACGTGTTTGCTGCTTGCCAGCTCCCAACTGCAGCCTCCGAAGTTTGCTCATTTTAAGCATGGCTGGTGAGGGCAGGGGCGGGACAGTCACTTTACGAGTTTCTCTTGAGTCTTCGCTGGACATTGCTTAGATTTAGAATGTTCTGGCATCTCATAGGTGCAATTATAAAAGATACAGTCATAAATTAAGTAAAAAGTCTGTATTTGGGTTAATGTTTTGTCCTAATGGTGAAGATAAGGATTTTGTTTGTTTGTTTGTTTTGAAGAGCAAGATGACAAATGTTTTAAAGCGCCTTAGATGTCAGTTGCCTTCTGTGGAGTGACTAGGTTTCTAGAGGGAAGGTGGTAGATGAGGGATAAAGGGTAGAGGGGTAGGACACAGACAGATGAGGAAGTTGCTGGAAGAAAAAGGAAGGAAAGGGCAGATGTGCTGGCCCTGGAGTTGGGCTTTGGGAACCCTGGAGGCAGGAACAGCACAGGAAGGTGCTAGCTGCTGAGACAGAGTTAGGGCTGGAGACCTCTCCTTACTTAACCGAGGACAAGACAGCTCTAGCTGTGCCGCAGTCCCTCTTCGTTGTCACAACAACCGAAGCATTGTTTATGCTTTAGTAGAAGTCACACATTGCTTCTAACAGTGAGCAAGGATGGAGGTCCGTGCATTCCGTTGGGGAGCGGTTCAGATGAGAAAATGTGTACCACCTTTAAAAACTGGGAAAGCTAAGTCTGATAACCAAAGGACATGTGACAGATTGCTTTCATCTCGTCCTGTGTTGAGCTGAGGAGTCCGTGTAGGACTTGAGCTAATTTTAAAGACATTTTGGAAGAGCTATGATAAATCAAGCTGTGAAACATTTGGCTTTTGAAGGTTTAAAACATGCATTTTAGTCAAACGCAGGTTTTTCTGGCATTAAAAACAAGTAGGAAATGAGAAAAAAATTAAAACCAGAAGACTTGAGAAGGTGACAAATTGAAAAGCATTGTAGGAGACTCCTAAGAAGCATTTTATATGAAAGAAGCACTCTGAGCCTTAAGAGCTTATGGTCAGTTTATAAAAAGGCTCAAAAGATTTGGGAAAGGGGCAGACAAGAATAATCTACTTAAAAGACAGTGCCATAGTTCTGAGTTGATGAGATTGTGTGTCTCCTTCTTTTCTCCCCCTTTTCAACTTCCTTCCTGTTTCTTTCTAGCCTTACCTCTCTTTCCCTCTCTTTTCTCCACCCACCAAGGTATGTAAATGGTTTTTGCCTTAAATTCTTTGTGAATGAATTTTAGAAGTTTTCTCAGGGTTCCTAGTTGGAAAAGCCTTCTACATAACTTGAAAGACTGATGTCCCTCTCAGGAAATGAATGAATTGATAACCTCTGACTCCAGTGACCAGTCTGGTGAACCCTACCTTAATGCTTTGAATACTGGAGGCCCCTAATCAGGCACAACTGTGAATCCCATAACTGTACCATCCAATGTGGTTCAGCAGTGGTATTTCTACTTTACATATACTGTCAATATATCTGAAATTTGTCAAATTTAAGAAGACAAGGACTCAGAATCCACTTATTTATTGTTGTTTGATTTACTAGTAAACTCTTAAAAATACAAAACAGATTTGTAGATAAAATGGAACCCATCATAAACAACCCAAAATTTACAAGCCTGGTAATTTTATGATACTTTTGCAAAAATAATAACATTATCCCAATTTACATGAATACTTTTTAAGGTTATTTGATATTAGAGTTTTAAAAATGTAATTCTTTAAATTACAAAAATAACATTCACAATTATATATATTGTAACAAGTATGGTACTAATTCATTTCTATCATTAAAATACTGTTTAATAAATGCTTTGTTAGCAAACAACCTCTTCAGAATGTGGGACTTGTTACACTTGGAAAATCGTTTGGATTTTTAGGGTTTTTTTCTCTCCCTACCAGCTGGCACATTGTTATCCTTCTCAAAATAAATAAAAGCATGCCTCCTTCCTGAGAACAACAAAAGAAAGAAACAGTCGAAAAAAATCCTTCCTAATTGATCATTTTTGATTGACACCACTTATCACAAACAGCTGAAAATAATTTCTTTATGCTCTGATTATTTTCGGATCTGAGCCAATTAGTTTAAATTTATTTTAGTTTTTCAGTATGAGAAGGGGTGTTAATAGGTGTACGTGGATTTTTCATAGTCCCAACATTTTAGTTTGTGTGAAGCACTGTTAGAATGTGGGCTTGCTTGGAGAGATGGGGTGAGGGGGCGCGAGCATGGTGGGGGAGGGTCAGCGGGTAGCTTTGAAGAAGGGAAGTGGTATCTACAGTTTTTCTGTAAACTGCTTGTTTAAGAAAATGGGGGATGGGGCAGCAAAAGACTGGTGGAAGCCTTACAGTGTTTCAAAGCAGGTAATATTTTATATTTTAAAAAAGAATAATTTCAAATTAATATGTAATATTTTTTAAATATTTGATAAGGTGATTAATATTGTTATAAACATGATAAGTCCAATTTGAAAAGCAAAAAGTGTTTTGATGCAGGGGGCCAACAGGAATGGACGGGACGAGCCCACCACGCTTACAGTCCCCTGTATTTGACCGTTCTGCTTGCTGGCAATAGACTTCCAAGATGTCAGAGTCCAGTTAATATTACACCGATTTACCTTTCCCCATGTGCCCTCTCCCCACCCCAGCAGTCAGCCTTTTTCTCCCGCTGTCGCCTTCGCATCCCTCTTCACCTCCTCACACTTCTCCCCTCCCCCTCTCCCTGAGTCTCCTGCTCTTGGGGAACAATCACCACTGATTGAGGTTCTCTCTGTGTTAGGCTGGAAAACTGGGCTGTTATTTAGGAAGTCATTAATCACATCTCCTCCCCCGGAAAGAGATGGCGGAGAAACCTGTGAAGTACAATTTCTTACTATACCTCTCAAAAATATTCTGAAATGAACAGCACTATTTGATAGGAAATTAGTAGTGATTTTTTTCCCCAGTAGGATTTTATTTTACATTTAAAAAAAATTCAGGTTGGAATTAGGTGTGCTTTTGCTTTTGGTAGGTTTATGTTACCAATATCTTAAGTTAATGATTAATGTAATTAAGTTTAAATTTGGGCTTAGGAATTGCATATTTTTCTCCACGAATGAAATATTAAACTGACGTCCCTAAGGTGGTTTGGTGCTATGGAATAACAGACTGCTTGTGGTGTGTGTGGGGAATCATAACGTCAGTTGCTTTATTTCAATGGCTCCCCCTATGAGATTAGAGAGGCTTGTATGTGGAGCACGCGTGTGCAAATACCGACTGTCGCTTTTCTAAACCAGCAATTCACAAGGACCCTTCATTGTGTTTAAATAGTACAAAATTAGCATTCTGATTAATCATAAAGAAGCGTCTCAAATTGTCTTTAAGATAACACGTTTGAGTTTTCCGTGTTCATTCATAAATTATTTTGATGTCAGCACAGATGAAATGGCGATTGGTTATCTCTTCCTCTTGCCAGCCCCTTAAGGATCCGAGGTGAAATTAGTAGCAAGAAAGCATGTAATTGACAAAGTCACGTGTGCTCAGGGGGCCAGAAACTGGAGAGAGAAGAGGAAAAAAAAAATCAAAAGGAGGAAAGCACATTAGACCATGCGAACTAAATTTGTGATCGCACAAAATCAAGATGCTAGACGGATGCTGAAGACCACTCCGGTCCAAAGGGAAAGTTTTCATCTCTCGAGTGTGAAGCTGAGGGCCGGTGGGGCAACATGGCCGAAGGTTAATTTTCTTTTCTATTGTTTTACTCTGATTTCTTTCTTCTTTTCTCCCCTGCTTCTCCCCACTACCCAGTTTCTCACCCCTTCTCGCCTATCCCCCTTTACCTTAATAACTGGGCATTACTTCCCCACCCCCTCATAGTACCATGGGGCTTCGGCAAAAACCTATTGTTACAGATCTCCAAAATGTTTTGTACCGCCCACACTGATTCACAACTTGAAAAGCTTTCAGGGGGCTATTGTTTGATTGTGTGCGTGTGATTGCGCGCAGTTTCAATTAGTGAGTCCAAGAAAACTTTTATACACCTGCCCCCTCCCCCATTCTACCCTAACTTTAATTGAAAGTTAGGGGGAGGGGAATGAATGCACATTGCAAATAACCCGGGATTCCCTCTGCCCGCATGTGCATTAACCAGTAGCCAACCGTCCTCAGGATTTCTCTTTTCCTGTTTGCTAGAAAAACCAATCTCGCTGAAGAATTGCTCTGTGTAAACTGGAATAGTATTGGGTCAGCAGTATGTGAGTGAAGTGGCCCAGGCTGTAACTGTAGAATGTTACCGAGCAACGGAGATAGATGAGAAAGTATGCGGATGTACAGAAACGTGGAAGCTGGTGTGAGCGATGCAGCAGTGTGGCTTCCTCTCTCTGCCTTTGCTTTTAACCCTTTTCGTTGTAGATAATTTTAAAGAACATTTATCAACTTTTTGTTTTCTAGTTTCTCTTTCTTCCCACAAGTGTTTTTGTTTTGTTTTGTTTTGTTTTTTGGTTGCACATAGTGTAGAAATGCAGACTAACTGACTTTTTGTTTTATTCCATGTCAGGCGGGGCAAGCAAAGGTGAGGAGCCAGAAAAGCTGCCTGAGCTGGCAGAGGAAGAATCCCAGGTTCTGCATGGAACTGGCCACTGTAAGTGGTTCAATGTGCGCATGGGATTTGGATTCATCTCCATGATAAACCGAGAGGGAAACCCCTTGGATATTCCAGTGGATGTATTTGTACACCAAGTAAGCCAGACTTTTTAATCCCCTCTTTGCCCAGATCCATGTGTGGGAGTTGGTCTATAGTTATGTTAATAGATTGACATAAAAATGTACTTTTAAGTATATTGAAAGATGAAAATATTCGTTAAAATCAGATGATTGTCCAGATTTTAGGGCATGTGTATGTTTCACTGATTGGACTTAGGTTGATGTTATTTAATAAACCTTCCCTTCATTAGACAATGAAATCTCATTTTTCTAGCACCCAATATTATTGGCTTCATATTGCCTGTGCCTACTGAATGAATGGGAAATGCAGGAAAAAACTTCCTTGGATCCTTGAGAGTTCTCAAAAAGTCAGATAATTTGCTTGTTGTAAGAAAGTATAGGTAACCTATATTTAGATGCTTCTAATGACAGTACCACCTGTATTGTTTCATCATCATAGTCATTTGCAAGTTTATGTCAAGATAATTTGGTTTTATAATAAAACAAAATAGAAAATCGATAATGAAGAGTGGATTTGAAGAAATGTCAGAAAAGATTCTTGGTAATTAAACTTTTTAGAACTGTTTCCTCTTAGGTCATTGATCCAGAGATACTGTCTCTTTAAGAGACTGAACTTAAGAAAAAAAAAAGTAGCCAAAGGCTGTTTAAAAATTGATAGTTGGTTACATGGTAAAATTCTACAGCTGAGTTATATTTTTTAAAAATGCGTAATACCAAACGGAAGGTCATTGTTTCCCATTAAAAAAAATTTCCCCAGGAAACAATAAATACCCTTTGCTCGTAAATCCCTTTCTATTAACTAATTACTTCAGAGTGGGGAAGAGTTTACAGTTTGCAAGTGAAGGAAATAAAAATTCTGTAGTGAGGTCATGGACTTAAGAGACTTACGAGGAAAGAGGTTTGTTTTGGTTTACTCTCTAAAGTAAAATAAACTGGGTGGATTTTCTATTGTTTGTTGACTAGTATGAATTTGTGTCTGAAATACTGAAATTACTCTGCTAAAAATTTGATATTGTGTTATTTGTCCTTGGTAACATTTGTAGCACACTCCCCAAAGAAAATCATTTTTAATGATCATTTTAATGGATCGTTTTAATCCATACCAGGCAGAACCTAGGAACCCATTTCATTTAATCTACTGTGCTCTGGTGCTTGGTAGCTTTCTGCTTTTACTGTGTGGTTTCTATTTTCCTTTCCTATAGGCCTGGCTCTTATTGGCTGTTTACAGGAGAAAGATAAACATGATCTGTGAAGTGAAACAATTTGAATAGTAAATAGGGGCCTGAATGTAGCCTACTAAGTTTATGTTACATAAGCTGCTGTAGTTTTTTAAATTTTTTAGATTGAATAACTAAAATTGATAAATCTATTTTCTTGGGCTCTTCTTCCCCTTTGAACCTTTTTTAGATTGTTAAATTGTTTTTTACGATGTCATAAATTTGTTTTATAGATGATAAATGAAAAAATAGCACTTTTTTCTTTGTTTCATCACACCTTGTTATAATTTGGTTTTATTTCTTTGGGTTTTAAAATATATTTTAAAAAGAAATAGAAATATATTAAAATAGTAGCCATTTTATTAAGCAGTGTTATGCTATGAAGCATCCCCCTTATATTCTTTAATAGATATGTGATTAACATTTCTATGTACATTGAATTAAACATATATTGCTAGGAAATTTCATATATCAATTGCAGTTTCCATAGTATAAACATTGCTTCTTAATATTTCCCTCATATATCTCTACATGTGAAAGGACAGTTCTTAAATGAAGACTCTTAGCTTTTAAAATTGAGATTGACAAATAAGTTCCACATTACATGAGTTATTACATTGAAGAAGACAGAATTCCTGCTGATTTTAGTCGGATAAAGTTAGATGGTTTGTAAATGGAGTATTTAGGGACTGTGAACATCCCTGTACAATCAGGTTGTGGTTTAGGACTATTATATAATATTTTAAAAATACTTTTTAATCTAGCTATTAATTTTAATATATAGGCCTTTTTAAAAGCTGTGCTAGTTTTTTATGTTAGATTTCCTCCATTATATTTTTATACTAGTTTGCTATAAAGAATATGTATAAATCATAATTAGAAATTTTAAATGTTCAGCTATTTATGAAGTATTTATATCAGGTTGGATTTTTAAAATAGTTTATTATTTTTGTGTGTCTGTGGGTGATATGTGTATGTGTGTGTGTTGAGTTGCTCTTGTGGAGTTGGTTCTCTCCTTCTACCTTGAAGGTGTTAAGCTCAGCTTACTTAGCTTGAGGGACAAGTGCTTTCCCTGTTGTACCATCTTGCTGGTCTTGTTTGTACCCCAAAGTACATGTGCCATAGTATTCCAAGCACATTTTTAATGTTATGTATTTGAGGAATCAAAATAAATGATATTAAGGGTCTTTAATCTTTAAAATTGATGCCAAGGGACCCAAGAATTTTTTTAAAGGTATTTTCTACAAAGACATGTGTATCTTCTTTATTTCATAGCAGTTTAGTTGTTTTGATAAACAGTTCTTTGTAGTAAATTTTATATGTAACTCTGTAGATTAGTTATATGATTGTATTTAGAATCTGTTGCTATTAATGTACTTATACCTGTAGTTCTTGTGCTATCTAAATCCTGAAGTTGGACATGTTCATAGGGCTGTGCTTTCCCTGTCTTTAGATAACATAGACAAAAGTAAGATTTAACTGTTGGAAGATTGTAACCATTGATGGTTTAAAATAACAATCTTCATGTGATTTCTACTGTTAATATCTGTACTAAGTGCATATGATTTCTACTGTTAATATCTGTTTTAAGTGATCATGTTTTTATGCTTAGAAACCTATATATTCTGACTCATGCTAATAGTGAATCGTTAATGATGTTCATTAACATATTTTATAAAGAACTAACAGTGAATAACTATTAAATTTGTGAATTTTGTCACATTTCATTTCTTTTAGCTTATGCATGCTAGGCAAGCATTTTGTTACTGAGCTCTGTATGTCCCTATCTCATAGCAATTGCTCAAGAATCTGATGCAAAGCACAAAAATTTGTCCCAGTTGAATGAAGTACAAGGATTCCTGGTCAAGGGTCTTACCAAGAAAATTCATCAATTAGAATACAATTATTTTATAAGTGCTAATAACTAATACAACCCGTTTTTAACTTCAGCTTCAGGGGATCAGACATTCTCTTCTGGCATGTGTGTGTATGTGTGCATGCATACATAAATAAAAGTAGGTAAATAAATTTTTTTAAAAACCTCAGAAAACATTTGAAAGGATTAATAATATTTAAGCCTGACATGATGATGCACACATTTGATCTCAGAAGAGACTCTCTGAATTTGACCTCAGCCAACATGTATAGTGAGATCCTGTCTCAAAAGAAACAAGCAGAGTTGATATTAATAATATATGAAGACATTTAATTCAGTGTTTTCATATTTCAGAGCCTTTCCTAATACTATATTGCTAATGAATCTCATTTAACTTTTGTCATACTTTGGCATGATTATATTTTTCACATGGTGAATATATGTGATTGTTTTCAAGGCTATCTAACTTGCCCTTTACCCTCTCCTGATGTGAAGGATCAAACCCTGGTGCTTGGACACCCTAAGCAAAGTCTACCACAGAGTTAAGTGTCCAACCCCAAATACCAGTTTTAAAAACATTTAACTGAATGTGGTGACTTATATTCCCAGAACTAAGAAAGGGTCATCTTAAACTTGAGGCCAACCTCACGTGAAACTCAAAAGAAAAAAAAAAAAAAAGGAAAGTTTTTAAAACTTTTACCAAAACTTCATGATAAATTTTCTTGGTTTACCAATTCAGAAAATTGGGGTATGCTACAATCCTGTAGAGCTGTGTAGTCATTTAAAGTAATGTTAAAGTAATGTTTAACAAGTTTTTAATGTAACTTGGACAATACTGAATACTTCCATTTTGGTTTTGAAATATACTTAAAATTTTAGAAAAATTGGCTGTTAGTCATTCTCATTTTAAATTTAGAAGTAAATTAGGTACTTATTTAAAATATATTTTTTTTTAATTTTTAGATGGTTTTGTTTCTTTTTTTTTTTTTTTTCTTTTTTTGGTTTTCGAAACAGAGTTGCTCTGTAGCTTTGGAACCAGACTGGCGTCAAACTCACAGAGATCCGCCTGCCTCTGCCTCCTGAGTGCTGGGACTAAAGGTGTGTGCCACCGCTGCCCGGCTGTTCTCCTCTTTTTCTTTAACATGCTGTCTTCAGTTCTCTCCCCTTTTTTAATGAAGCCAGAGCCATGTGCATGCCAAGAAGGAGCTCAAGTACTGAGTATATTCAGTATGTTAAACATGTCTTTCTTTAAGGACAGTTTTAGATCCACAGCAAAATTAGGAGGAAAGTATGAGAACTTTACACATACCTCCTTTATCCACACATGTGTGATCTCCACTAGCAACATTTCCACCTGTACAGTGCTGCATATATTAACAGCTGGTGAACCTAAGCTGCCTTTAGTCCTCCAAGAAGTGAGATGAGGCTTAGCCCTTAGTATTGTATGCTGTGGTTATTTTTATTCACCCTTTTAAATGACTGTTCAAAACATATGAAGACAATACATTTTTTTAAAACAATAACTAAATAGATACCAACCCTCTTTATCTGGTAATATGTAATATGCCTTTACCTTCCCTCTGAGCTTTTAGATGTCATGGAAATTTAAAAACTTCTTAACCCATATTCAATATAATAGGTAGAAACAAGTCTTTTGCAGAACATGGATTTCATGCCTGTTGACCTAACTATACTCAGGGGCCAAAGGTGTGAAGAGCCATCTCTCCAGCTTCCATATTGATCATATTTAATCTGAACATTTGATAAAATATGTTGTATAATGTTGGTAGCTTAGTTTTTATTACAGTGAACTCGAATTTTTAATCATAGTTTTATAATAAGTAATATTGTTTAATGTATAACAGTTTTATGGTAAGTAATATTGTTTCACATATAACACGCCTATAGTACTAGCAGCTTGA